ATGGAGAGAATGATATGTTGACTCATGACAAGATTAGATGAATAATAACATTTCTCGCCGCTGATTTGAGCCTCTAAGCAAAATTCACGAGCTTAACCTCTTTAATTTTTGGATCAAATTTGAACGCGGTCAAAAACTAATTAATATTTTTTTTTTAAAACACTTTTATAATAGTCATAGAACTAAAATTCGACCACACCTAATACTAGCAACCGAGGATCCAAACCCTCACCTAAATTTTTATTTGCAATTTAACTAAATGTATCTTCAAGTTTTAGGAGGCCGGACGCCTTCTAATTATATAATATACCACGATAAACATGTTGCTTGCCTATCAGTAATCTACATGAATGTTGTTATTATCAATAAACATGACATAATTAATAACCATATTATGGCAAGTTTTATTAATGGTTAAAGGACTGGTCAACTTAAGGCTACTATATTAAATAATTCAAGCAATACGCCATGTTTATAGACTCGCATTTGGGATATAAATCAATTAGAATATTGATTCATTACTTAGCAATTTTGATCTCAACAAAAAATGTGACACTTTTTAATCAATTTTTATGAGTTGGACCTAAATAAGAGTATTATAATGCTCAACTATTAAAATTGGAACCACTGTCCCTTTTCATCCACTCTTCACGATTGTCATGTCAAACTACATTGTTTCGATCTAAGAACTTGTGTAATCGCTTGTTTGATGGAATTCGGTTGGTTGGTGAGGTTGATCATGGCAAGTTACAATGACATTTAGATTTTAGGTATGTGTTCTTAACGATACTCACCTCTTGATTGAATGGTTTGATGGCGTTGCCGTCCAAAGATAACGCTTCTTCTGTTATATCATACTCTCATAGTGACTGACTTTGACTTCGGATACCGGTCCAAGGCGTCGAGCTGATTTGTATAAATTTCTTTGACCGACATGGGATCTCATATCAGCAACAAAACATAAATCATGCTTTTGTTAATTAATAATATCTTGAAGTTCTCAATGGAATATGCAATTATTATTGGAGCTTATGGAGAAAATATGTCTATATATTTTATGAGTTAAGCCACTCGTCCGCACCGAATACCATAGGGATGACTACACCCTTATACGGGATGAGTGGTCCAGTGTGAATAAAAAAATCCCCACCCCTATGTGTGTACGCGATCATCCTCACGGTCACTCCTGTAGTTTGTGTAGCATAACACATATTTCTTATTACTGACAGTGAAAGACATTTGATTGGAACAATCTTACAAGGGTTTTAAAGTTCGCAGATGAAAGGTTAGGAACAGAGCGAAACTGTTGCAAAAGGTGCCATTTGGCATGTTTCTAACGTACGAGTTTCAGCTATTAGTGCTGACTTTGGGAGTCATAACCTTTATTACTTGAAATGAGGATTGATTTTTATTCTAACAAAAGTGGAAGTTTCCAAATGTGCAAACCAAAGAAACAAATAAGACTTAGATTTTTTACTTCATTTCCATTTATGATGTACCTTACAAAAGGTGTTTTTTGTTAACTTTTCAACCGTGTCCAATTTAATGTGCTAAAAAGATTATAAATTTTTTCAGCGAAACATGCCCTAAAGCAAAGATGATCATATGTTCAAACTCGCCATTTAGCTTTTTCTCTCTTTAACACGCTCCTTCCACGGTCCTTGGTAAAGAAAAGTGACTAAACTAGGACGATATTGATAATGAAAAGAGAGTGCGGACTCTTTTTCGTAGATGTGACGGGCATAATCATAACCATAGTGCACGCAAGGGAAGCATTTATTCGTTCGCAAAAGTGTATGAAAGAGTAAAAATTACTATGAATTTGAAGCCTAAAAGGGGTGAGGAATGTTGGGAAATTATCTAAAAGAATCTAATGCAAATATCTACATTGTCAGAAAATCTTCAAATTCACTGCAGCCCTTCCTAAGTTCTATTTATTTATTTATTTTTATTATTATTTTAATGATCGTGGGTGTTCGGACCAGTTTACGCGACTAATTCCTTCCTAAATTCTTTTCGATATAAAAGATTAATCTCTCTGTTAACACAAACTTTTTTCGTAAGGGATGATTTTATATTTTAAAATTTTCATATTTCTTTGAACCATTTAGCTTCTACTGTGCAGGCCTAAAAATACTGAATTATATAACTGTTTGAATGTATAATAAAATTGTACTGAAAGGTCTAATGATTTTAAGAATTTTAAGTCAAAACATTCCATTTTTTGCTCACATATTGTCTTCATCACTGCTTTTAGCCTCTTCGATCTATAGTTCTGGACAAGATACTACATAGCTGTAACTATGTGTGATCAACTTTTTATATTCCTGCAAACTTATCTAGACAAATAAATATGTGACATGGTTACTAGATACTATAGTTATCGTGTTGGTATTCAATTAACATGAAAATTTATAACTTTGAGACTAACGAATCTTGATATATTGCAAATTTAACTAAGTTGACGTACGACTTTCACGTCATAAATTCAAATATGAACAGCTCAAAACCTATGCTGCTAAATTAAATCGCACCCTTACACAACCAAGGTTTATAATGGACAAATGCAAAAGATCTCAACAATTAGTATGTTCTATAATTTCTTGATTCAATTTAATCACAAGTCTTGTGTTAGACATAGATAATTTTGACTGTGACGTTTTATTTTCTTTTCTGTCAGCATAAAACCGCCTATCCACTCTTTTCTATTGTTTTTTTAATCAAATTTTATTAGCTTAAAGCCCAAATTCTTTCCATCATATCCCCCACAAATACTCCAAAAAAAAAAAATAATAATAATACTCTATAAATTAATATGTTGATTTTTGTAATTGATTGCAACAATGTACTATTAGACAATAGAGTTATTATTGTTGTCAATTTAACGATTAATATAATCAAAAGAAAGAAAAATGAACCTTGCTACATGTTTATCATGTAACATTACCCTATTGGACAGTTTAAATTTCAAACATATTTTTCATCCAATTGACACTTGACAACAATGCAAGTGTCAAAAATCAGTGTAAAAATAGCAAAATACTAAAATGAAGATGAAGTGAGATATGTCTTAATAAATCTCCTAAATAATAGATTTTGTCCTTGTACAAGTAGAAACGTTATAATTGTATGTCTTTTTACCAAGATACAACACTTATTCCAATATAAAAACTGCACTAAACTAACCTTCTCAATCGACGAAAATTGTTGACAATATTCTTCTCGAACGAAATAAACACGAACTAAAATGCTCGTATGGAATTTTTTTTTTTTTTTTTAATTTCAAACGATAATTCGAAAAGAATTATATTTTAACCAAAAAAAATTTTTGATAAGCGGAGAGCATTAAAAAAGAATTATAATTTGAATTGATTTCGTACAGTAAATATGGAACAAGAGGTTCCTATTCGTAGATTTTCAAGTGAATTTTCGAATAATTGCATCTTTTGGCATAAATTAATATGAACCCTTGATCACTTATTTGCATATTTAATGGTCTAAATTACACCCATCAAAAGATTATAACTTTTCTAATTCACACCTATAAATAATTAACCATTTATTCCACCAATTATATATTTCGTTATTCTCCCCTTTTTCCTCTTTCCTTTTCTTTACCGTGGGTCAATTGAAGACTTTCTGAAAATATTATTCCTACAAAGCTTACATTCACTTGAGATTTTGGCTAGATTAATTTTATTTCTATCAAAGTGGTTCGATAAAAGATTTTCAAGCAAATATCTAATGAATGTAAACCTTCTCTTTAACCTTATTGAATCGGAAGAATCTTCAGTGGCTCGGTAGTGGCCCACACACCTCGAGGGAATGTCATGGGCCACCCGTCGAGGTGTCACATCTTGATAGAGCCATCGCACCACCATCCTAATCTGGTGGTCATGACACGTTCTTTCTCCTAGTTCCAAGAATCCAACCAATTCATGCTAGTACATTTGTCATGTTAATCCTTGGCAAAGTGCATATTGGGACCAAGTCGGATTGTTTTATGAGGAATTTCAAGAAATCAGCAGAGAGTTTTGGGTACCTCGATGCTACCATTTATAAAACTTATCCTTATAACAGATTTTTAAGAACGAAGAACTCAGGCGATTACGAATCCACGAACTGAGGATCCATGATACAATTAATTGGTTAGCAACCTACCTTTCCTTCCAGAATCAAAGTTTAGGATAACTCGTATTGCTTGCTGCCAACTTCACACAATCAGTACGTGCTGCGATACCAATGATTCCAAAAAGCCAATCAAAACCAATTAATTAGAAGCCTATCAAGATGTTACAGTATAAGAACTCTCTAATAAAGAAATACTTTAGTTAGCCAAAAAATAATTAAAGAGGATATACTACTTGTACATAATGTGGTATCTAAGCTGGTGTCCACCCTCACATAGAGGTAGACCCAACCCCCTCAATGTGAGGGGTGGACACTGTTATACCTTAATGTATATATAGCATAACACATTAAAGTGATAGGCATCAAAATTTTCCCTACTTGCAGCACCATCTCCTCGATGGACGTGTGTCCAAAGTGCCCCTTGCACGATTAGCATACACCAAAGTCATGACACTGACTTCAAATTCCAATAAATATTAAACTCACACACAAGGTTGCACACTAGTCTAGAAGAAAATTTTGACAATCCCATATATTCCATCAGAATAATGTAGTGTCAAGAGCAAGATAAGTAACGTCCATGTCCACATTGTACCAAAGCAACATTCGGTTTAAGTAATTGTTGAGGCACATAGCAGCTGCTGCTGGAAGTAAAGGGGTAACAAACAAATTTGAAGCATTTATCAGCATAAGGAGCAGGATAGTACCAGAGCTCGAATCATGGTGGGGATACAGATCATACTCAAGGAAAGTACCTTGAGCCTAGATCTTGACTTCTGAACGTTAAAGAACACCCAGCATCTGTGCATCACTGCAAGGATGGCAACAGAATAAACATAGTAGAGATGCATCACATAGCACTCAGATACTGACTAACTACAAAAATTTGATTTTTTAAAAGAGATGAAACTATCCATAATCGCCGATCTTACAACACATGAATTTGGTAGCAACTACTACCAAAGAAGATTAAAAATTTGATGAGCATTCAACAGAATGGAACAAAGAATTCACAGCTTGTAAATTTAATTAGTTGGTACCAAAATCGAGAACCTCAAATTATTTTTTTATAACTAGAAAAGGGCATGGTGACAGCAACATTTTTTTTGCTTTCCCCCCTTGTTTCCCTAGTCTAAAACTCCTTTTAAGTTGATAATTTATAAGGCAAGAATGGCCCAGTCCTGTCCCAGATGAATTTACTTGTTTGTGCAGCTCCATTCCTCTCCGGAGCTAAAATCTACCACCAAGTATTCAGTTGCAAGTAAGGGATACTTTCTCTTGACCGAAAACCTGTTCTTGGCATGTCATAAAACCTTGTGAGCCTTCCCATAGTATCTGTTGATGAAGGCAGACTGCAATTCAAGTTGCAAAACAGAAAATGGTCAAACTTTAACATGTTTTGGTATCCTCCCAAATTAATAATATATCAAAATAAAAATATAACGAGAAGCCTCCTTCAGAATTTGGGGTCTAGGAGGCCTAACTATCAGAACTCAGAATCTTGATAAATTAAAAACCGAAAATCGACATTACTAAATTTACCCATTGAAATGAAGCATAAGCATTACATGATGTCATGCTTGGGTAAAGAGTGTCCACTTCCTTGAAGCCCATATTTACATTCCAAACCAGATGATGTACATTAATTTGGGGTCTCACAAATAATTTACTACTTAGAACTACAGAGAGAAAAGATACTGCCAAAAAATAATTGAATCCTTCACTGGCACGATATTTATTTCGGAATACTTTTTTGTCATGAGCTAGACCACTAAAACTAAAAGAAACCTAAAGGCATCCAGGGAAAAATTAAGCAGAGCATTTAGAAACATGCAGATAATTAGCGAACAAGGCATAGCCCATGACACTAGTAAATTTACAGTGAAACCCACAAATCATGTTTTATTAATAACCTCAAATGTCCAGTCATGCAAATTGTCAGACACAAAAAGAAAGTTTTTCAAGAACTAGTCCTTCCATTCTAATTTCAAATGTAGTGTGAAGAAGATATCATGCAAGAGCTGAACATGAAATCAATCATAATCTACACAGAAGGAAAAAAATTAAGGTCCCAGCCCAGGTGGCTAACATAGACAGATTTGCAAGTTTCAGTATTTTATTCACAATGATAGTAAAGAAATCATATAGCCAAAGGCCCTACAACACATAGTGATGCCACCAAAGTAAATGTTACTAATTACTGAATCCGAAGGAGGATCATTATTTGGATGTCTTAAGGAGACATAGAGAGTGAAGAGATCCAGGATCCTATTAATAAATGTTATAAGAGGGAAATGTTGATCAAAATTAACATGAACTGGCATTGCTACAGAGGATTTGATTTCATTGGATCTTTAAGTAATGATGGAGAATGGAATGGTTCAAGAAGCCAGCCACGAATTTGTTAAGAATAAGACATAGCTTTTGTTGTTCTTCAGTGGTGGGGAGTGGAGAGTGGGTGCGCCGGTGCTGTTATGAGAGTCTCAAGCGAACTACAGATGTGTGAGGACAAGCTCAGTGTATCTAGAATCTCTCATCATAAGATAGTACAGTAATTATATTGCCATTCTTGCCATGTTATAAATATTTTTTTCTCATGTAATGTTATTGCTGAACATTAGGCTCTATGATATTTCGTTATAATAATTATACGCTTAGCAGTGAGGCAAAAATAACTAAGCAGAACCTCAATTATCATATTTTGTGAAAAATATGAACAAAATCCCTGGAAGACAGAAATACACAGATGACAAAAAGATCTCCACCATTGTAAATAATTTTAAGGATAAAAAACGACCTAGAAATAATATGCATCCACGCAATAGGGAAAAAAATGTATGAACAAAGCAGAACTTAGATCATCATTAACTTAAACAAAGTTTATTTGTACAGATCTGATGGTTCACAAAACAAGACTGATGACAGCTTAAAGAATAAGTGCATGACTGCAATTTTAGCTTATAAGTAAATGCTTTGGCTCTGGATATAATCATCCAAGTTTGATCCCTGTTGGAGCCCAACAGAAAGTTCTTCAAACTGAAAAAGGATAAGGACATGGCAGGTAGAGTTACATTGCCAACCCTATCTACTCAGAAAATTTGGACATCATATAGACTATTCAAGAACATCTAATTGGGGTTTCAACAATCATCAAAGATCAACGGAAATTTATGTACGTGAATTGTGCCACAGTGCTCCAGTTAGATTAGGAGCCTATTTGGTTTGGATTAACATATGATTTTAATCTAAGTCAAAGTAAAACAATTAACCACATCTTTAATGAGTCTCACAACTTTTCAATCACACATTTCAAAAACATTTAGCACAATCTACCAAAAAAATCTAATTTTAATTTCCACCAAACACCCTCTAAATTTATTTATTGAGAAAAAAAGGTAAAAAAATCAAGTGACCATAAAAAAAAATTGTGTTTAACCCTAGGAAGGCATTTAATTCAGAAGGCAGGAGCTCCCTAGGATCATCCTGGACGATAAGAAGGATTGAAGTAACCTTCAAGAGAAATTATCAAGAATCCAATATTTGGCGAGACATGCTATATGTCCAGGACGCCAAATGGTGCCCCCCTATAGGTGGGGGCCTATTCACCTATAGGAGGGACACTCCATCCGGGGCCCATGTGGCCCTAGACAAGTATCTTTATCCATATTTGGCAATTTTGAAGGATTCTGGATCAGGATAACTTGAGTGTTTCTTGATAGAAGGATGCTATGATCCATAGATGGAATTTCAATAAATAAGGATGCAGCACGTAGATCTTGGATATCACGTGGCATGGTTATCATTATAATTGCTAAAAATTCACTAGATATGTTTAAAAGACATCCCTATTCGGCTCACAGCAATAAAACAATCATATTCTTGAGAATCATGCTGCGCAATAACTTAACTGCATATCTCCAGCTATTCAGCAAGAAAGCCCTTATGAAACAATGAGTCATACATGCAAATTCTTTACCATTGAAATAGAACAATACATGCCCCCTAGCTTTGCAAAACCAGAAACTAATAACAAACTACCAGCATTTGAGCAAACACATTCACATGAAGTTGAATTATCTGTTAAGCAAGTATACTTGATAGGCATTTAGAACTATAAACAGCATATCCTATGTATCTAAACGTCCTCGAAAGAATACAATTGCCAAGACAAATCCTTCATTGACTGAGAAAATAAAAAAGAAAAGGAAGAAACACAATATTACCTTGACATTAGATACATCGGGAGTGTCAGGTGAAGGCATGGGATAAAACTTGTAGAATTTCATATTCTCAAATGCAGCCTTAGTTTCTCCACTCATTTCTTCCAACACCTTTTTGCGGGCTTCCCTTGCCTGTATATACAAGAAAATTCAAAACAAGCATGATCAAAATGATCAAGAAGAAGTCCATAGGAAAGTCTATTTGCAAGTACCTCGCGATTAGCTTTTTTGGCTTCTCGGACTTTCTCCTTGACAAATTCCTGAATCAAAAAGGATTCCATTAATCTTCTTAGTATGTTCAACAATGGATTTTCAAACATTGACATGAGTTATGCGCATATATAGTGAAGATTACCTTAAAGGCATCCTTTTGATCTGCAGCCAACTCCTCTTCCTCAATAAGTTTATCCGTGAACTCCTACATAATTTTTATCTGACTTAGCCAGAGGATTCTTTGCAGATTATCAGGCAGTAATATACAAACATAAATTGCAATTGCATACCTCAAGTTCATCAAGTTCCCAATCAAACTCACAGAAAACCTGGAGGGAGGTTTGAAACAAAGTTAGCTTGTTGCCATTTTTTATATAGCTCCCTAAACTGATCCTACAAGTCTGTCGCACATGTTGCGTAGATTCACCTAACCTCCCATATAATATCTAAACATTTGCCATTGGAAAATATTATGTGATTACTTAGGAGCGTGTTTATGAGTACTGCAAAAAGAAATGTACCGGTTTTGGATCTATTGGAAATAAGATTTGCACTACGGTGCTCTGTTCAAGTTCATCTTCCTGAAGGGGATGGTAGAAGTCTGCAAAAACATAAAAGGTACTGTCACATATATTCTGCTTAGTGCACATTGAGATGATTCATATGTCACAAAGAAGACTTCGAAACTGTTCAAATGCTCATTTAACACCAGAATGATAATAGAACGAGATAAATCCCCATCGCCTTAATAGCGTCCTAGTGGAGAAGTAAGCAAACAGAAAAAATATTAGGTGTCAAAAGTGTGGATTTCAAATAGGACAAAAGCAAGGAGCGTGTTATATCTGAAATGTATGAAATATAGTAAATATTTTGCAGGAAGAGAATCACTCACAAGGTAAGCAGTACTCAAACTTCTTCACGCGCTCCAACTTCAAATGTTTTAGTCCAGCCCTGCAACAAAAAGTTTTCAGTATGTAAACCTCTCTTTCTCCTATTCAAATTTTCTTTTACATCTTAAATTAAACCACTTAATAACTAATGGATATTGGGACTATCCCCACCTTAGCTTCAAAAGGGAGCAATCTGGTACAAAATAAAGTATAGTGTGGGTACATGTTATGCTGAAGTTATTGCAATCACTAAGCCCATGTTTGGTGCATCTTAAATAGTTGATTAAAATCCAAGTCAAATTCAACAATTAATTTTAACCACATATTTATATGAGACCCACAATTTTTCAACCACCATGTGTTTTATCAAACTCTATCAAAATCTACCAAAAATATGATTTTTATCTACCAAACGGGGGCTAAATAAATTAGTTGGCAACTTCAAATTAAAAATAAACCGATAGCAGAACCTATAAAATTCTAATCACATGAACCTTGAGGGGGAATTATATAGGACTATAAAGTTTACGTGAACACATGCAGACATTCTAATGAAAATGAAAGTGATATAAACAAGACTATCATAGTACAAAAGACAGTACAGTTGATGTATCATAATCCCAAAAGGCAGCAAAAAATTAAAGAACACAAAGTTGAAGAACACAAAAAATATAGGTCAGCCAAGCAGAAGTAATCTTTGTTCTCTAGCATATATCTATTCATGGATAAAATGCAGGGGGGAGAATTGTACCTTCTCTGGATACAGCTCAAAATAAAAATTGGAGATTTAAGTCTTTCAACTTGAGAATCCCTGTCGAATAACGAAATTGCAGAACTGTCGTCTATTTGAATAAGGAAAGCAACACATATCAAAATCAAAGGCGATTTAATACCTATTTCCCAGTGGGATGTACGGAACCCAATCCATTTTCATCTGCTTCATAGGAACAATTTCTTCTGTCTCCCTCTGTACCGATTTAATTCCAATTTTGTCTGAAGGAGGAAAAGGAGATACCACCTGATTGAAAATAAAATATGCCAAATAAAAGAACATTAACAAAATAAATAAATCAATCATTCAAAGAGGATTGACTGAAACCACAATACCATAATACACATCAATGACATTTGAAAGTGCCCTAATAATGGACACTGCTTTGTCCCAGGCCACAAACAGTGGTGATACTAGTGCCAACATTAACTCGTGCCAATGCAGAAGTGTTAAATAATGAGTTTATATATCTCAAGTTTATCTGCAATTCCAATAACTTTGAGATGTACAGATAAGCCTAAGAACTGAAATTATCATCATGTGAAATGCAAGTACCAGATGACCGTGATTTCTTTAATTTCTTCTTCTTCTATGACAAAACACAAGACGTTATTAGCTATTATTCCGAGAAAAGAAAGTATAGAAGGTGATTACCAGTCCTTAAACTTCAATGAAAATAATGGCAAAAGTTCAATTCAGATTTTGAAAGGCTAAAACCAAATTAAGCCCTTGTTTGAGCCCCATTCTTTTGGAAAAATTCATTTTTCAACAGTGTTTTGACATCATTTCAACCACACATTTTTCAATAAAATAATATTACACGTAAATCCAAAACTTTTCCTTATTTTTTAACCACACATTTCCCATCAATACACTATTCAAAAATTCATTTTTCCCAAAATAATGGGGCTCAAACAAGGGCTAAATGAAAATATTCAAAGTTCAAAGCAAAGACGATCTCATTCTCATAGGGAATATTATCACGAATAAGGTATCCCAAAAATTAATAAAAATTCTTATGAACAGAAAAAAAGTTGCACCTAACTTCAACGCATTATGATCCAATAAGACAAACTGATGAAAAATTAACATACAAATAATACAAACACCAAAAATGGTTAACCATCTATATGCAAGGAAGACGTTTTTTAGGACTTACAGCAACCACAACAGGGATCATTGTAACTTTCCCTTGACCTTGAAAAGAGACCAACTGCGCTGCATAAATAAATAAGCAATTACAAATCAGCGTAGATGGCTTAGAAAATAAACAATATACCCAATATTCATTGGACATTGCAGGACTATTAATGTCAGCCAATTGAACAGAATAATAAATTTGGATCGCAATAAGAAAACAATACACTTGATATTTTCAGACAGAAAAGAAAGCAGTCAAGTTTTAATTGCCACTTACGCTCTGTACAGCCAAAGAGATAGACTTTTTGATTATATAATTCTCCACCTTCTTCAAATGCATCCTGCCAAAAGCAATGTTAGCACTGGAATTCCTTATGTGGCATTTGGCAGAGGGGCAATAAGGCTTTGAAATCGGACTTAGCATGATGCAAATATAATTTAGCCCGTTTGGTTTTGTTAAAAAAAAATTAGTAGATTTTGATACAGATGATAAAATGCATGTTTGAAAAGTTGATAAAATTGTTAATCCCATGAAAGATGTGGTTGAAAATGAGTTTGGGAAAAAATGAGTTTTGAAAAATGGAGGCCAACCAGAGGCTTAAATTGATTAGTCACAAATTCCAATTCCATAATAACAAACATTGCATTAAAATTTACTTTGAGAATAAGCCCACTATACGAAGAAAAGAAATTTGAAAAAATTGCATCGCTTAAAAAATAGCAGGGTAATAAGCGTTAAGCAACTCACTTCCAGATTTGAGAAATTCCAATTGTACTGATACACCGTATCCAATTGATCCCACTGGTATTGAAAAGAATTTCAGCAAAGAAAAAGTCAAACATAATAGTACTAAGATAATTCGTCATGGAAACCTTGACTGCTTAAAATGTAAGAAATTAATTAAATGCTAACCTCTGTACCAACTGGAAAAACCTGTAGCCATAAGTCTTCCTGAACAACATTAGTGCAGAAATTAAATAAAAATAGAATAAATTTATTCTAAACATCACATAAAATTTCTAAGTGTATAACGAGGCAGATAACATTTAAGATAATGTCAAAATCATAAAAAATTTCCAAGTATATAACGAGGCAGATAACATTTTAGAAAATGTCAAAATAATCAAATAGTTGCAATAAACTTCATGGTACATAGCTGAATTCTTGCATGATTTTATTCAAAGAGCTAGAATTTATCACTGGCATGAATTATGTCAACTAGATAACGTAATGTCTTTATGGTCGCGTACATTTATCATAGATGCTTGCATAAAACAAAAAAAAACTGTATATTTGTATACTATTAATTTTTTTTTTCTTTTTTTTTTTTTTTACCAAGTTACGCTTCTCGGAAAAATACTCAGGCTTCGCAGTTTTGGCTCGCTTAGCTTTTCCCTTGGCCACTTTCTTAGTCGGCTCCTCCCGAACTTTCTTCTCCACCTCGTCTTTCTGGATGGGCTCCTCCCTTTCCGGTTGTTCTACGTGGTTCTCCTCTGCCGGCCCATCCTTGCTCCCCTGAAACGATTGGCTCGGGCCGCTATTCGGCTCCTCATCCGGCTGTGTCGGTGCTGCGTCCTTGTGAGTTGTCTTCCTCTTAGTACCCCTCCTCATCACGAGTATTGGAATATTATTTTAGAGAGAGAAACTAGATGAATGTACTGTGTCAGTATAGAGTGAGGAAGGTAGGGTTTGTGAGACCCAAGTTTGAATTTGGGGGAGGAAATGGATGGCGGAAACAGGTGGAACCATAGATGGGAGTCGAAGAGGGAAAAATGTTTGCGAAGAAAATGTGTGTTTGAATGTTAATAGTCTAAACAGATAAAAGTAAATAACAAAAATAAATAGTAATTATGAATTTTTCAAAATGTGTAAATAAAAATGTATTTTAATGTTTATAAACATTAGCTAAACATAAAGTAAATAAATTGTAAACTAAACAATTAGTTATTTATCAGCAAAAATAAGTAAGTGTGGTTGGGACACATCTGATGCGGACTTGAAAGTTGGAGGATCTAATTTATAAAATGTAAAAGTGAGGTCGTTCGACACGTTTGTTGCAATATAGTGATGTTGCACCACATGGACAAATCAAGGTTTGTGGACTCTTCCATAATGCACCATCCTCGACTACAATTCCTCTACACAACCTAGTTCACCCTAAAACTCAGTGCTCGATGGTATCAAAACACAAAGATCGTCCTAGTCAATATCCCTACCCAGAGTGACTATTTATGAGGTCATCCTCTAATACTACTACATTGGGATGATACGCTCTCGTGAGGCAAACAACTTATGGCTCCAATATTCTCATCTCATCATTGTCACTGTTCTAGGTATTGTTGGAGAAATTACATCAATAATTGTGCATATTATATTTATAAAAAATCATACCGTTTATTTGCGTGAAATCGAAACGTAATTTCAACTTATCGAAATGAATTTGAAAAGCAAAACAATAATTTACCGAATCTGAACGTATCAATATAGATTCATCACTTTCGATTCTTGAATGAAAGCAAATCATTCTTTGGATCGAACATTGTAATATAAACATATAAACAATGTTAATCAGTTTCTGAAATCAAAGTATAATAAAATAAATCAGAAAATGAAACAAGAGAATGTAAGTTATAGATTTTTTTGCCGAGGAAGTGTTGGACATTTTGTTCTTAAGATGAATTTGCCCCGCATCGGTACTAACGATTTTTTGGCAATCATCTCTCAAGATACAACGACCACGTCAAGTCATAGGAGCATTTCAAATGACTTCAACCAACGAACTCGAACGGAATTCATTCTCTACCATGACCATGATTTTGATGCAAAATGGAACCACTTTTATAAAGTGTTTTATACAACATGACATGAAAGAATAATTTGTATGCAAGGGCGAACCAAAGAGGGGTTCCCTAGGGTCACTTGACCCTCCAGTTTTTGCAAGTTTTTTTTTATCTTTTTTATTTCGGGCTCACTATGAAATATCAAACGAAGTTGAAATATTATATTTTTAATATCATTTTGAAGTACTTACAACCTAGTATTTCACGTTGTTAATATTGTGCGAAATGACCAATCGTAGCAAATGTTACGACGTGTCAAAATAGGCTGTTCCAAACTAATATTTTCAAAATTTCGATAACAAGCTAACTTTAAAAAAAATTCAACGATTATAAGCTAACAATATCCATAAATCTTCTAGATTTTCTCGAAGCTCATTTCGAGAACTATATCATAAACACATCGAATGATCTAAATAAATATCGAAAATAGTTAAACGTACGTCAAACGTGTATGCTAAAAAGAGACATATAACTCGTCTTTTTTGAAAAAGAAAATCAATTTTTTATTAATGTTTATTATTTTTGTGCAACAAATTTCTTAATATAATTTACATCATTTTATTATGAAAATTTATATATGGTATGACGTCAAAATTTAATCTTTTTAGACATAAAAATTCTTAATAAAATGTTTATTACTTCTCAAGGGTTTTAAATTGTTATACTACTTTTTCATCTTAATTTTTTTTATATCTGAAAAAAATTTATATATAAAAAAAAATTCAATCAATTTTAGGATTTTTTTTCTTATTATTGTTACATTTTCCTCTCTATTAATTAATTTTTTTTCAAATGACATCAAAAATTTTATTAGGAAATTTATTAGATTATTTTTTTTTAAAAATTAATTGATTGAGAGGAAAAAGTAACAATGATAAAAAAAAATCCTAAAAAGGATCGAATTTTTTTATATATAAAAATTTTTTATATGTAAAAATCATCAAAATGAAAAGTAGTATAACAGTTTATAACACACATAAAGTAATAAAAAAATTTCGTCCCTTTTTTTGAAAATTTGATTGTGATCCCCTAATATAAAATGTTTGCGTCCGCCCCTATTTGTATGGAATGAAAATAAAAGTCCAAATGGTCATATATATATAAGGGGAAAATTTCATAACTAAGAAATTAATTATGACACATTTCAAAAACAAGAAAACAAGTATCAAATTTTTAAAATCAGATTTTTATTAAAAATTATTTATAATTTAATTAGTTAATTAATTTTTTTATTAATTAAATATATATAGGTCACGAATCTATACAATTTGGTCACAAATTAACAATATAATTAGTTACTTATTATTTTTTGGTCACAAATCAAAAATTTTATGTCACGAATTTTTTTACGATTACGATTCAAAAATTTTGTAAGTCACAGTTTGTTTATTGGTCACAAGTCCAAAAATAATTAGTCACGGATTAATTTTTAGTCACGACTTATCATATTATTGGTCACAACTTATTTTTCGATCACAAACACAAATTTTATAGGTCACATATTATTTTTCGATCACGAATCAAAAATTTTATAGGTCACAGATTAATTTTTCGATCACAACTCAATAAATTATAAGTCACAAACACAAATTTTATAGGTCACAGATTAATTTTTCG